CCTGAATCCTAAACCCTAAACCCTGTAACCCTATAGAGCCCGAAACCCTCCAAACCTTGGAGCGCAGAAACCTAAACCCGACTTGGAGGGTCGGGGGACTTAGTAACTATTAGGGTTTAGGGCTTAGTGTTTAGGGTTTAGGGACTTATAAGTGCCATAACCCCAACTAGGATCCCTTTTAGGGTACTTCTAACTCTACTTAACATCTACTTACTCAGTCCCCTGACCCTCCAAGGACTGGGATCACTGCGGCGGAAGGTAGCCCATGTTTTGCTGCATATTGTCACCTCGTAGAGCTTAGGGCTTTTAGGGTTTAGGGTTTAGGATTTGGGGTTTAGGGTTTTTAGGGTTTTAGGGTTTTAGGGTTTAGGGTTCAGTGTCAGAAGATAAGGCAGAGAGATTGGGTTTCGGATTCGAGGTTTTAGGTCTTCGGGGTTAGGGATGGGGTTTGGGTTTTGGGGTTGTGATTTGGGGTTAGTCTGGCACAACAAAACGAACCGTCGCAAAGAAACATAGCAGTCTGGTTTGGAGTTTGGACACCCGGATGCACTTGCATGTGATAGACAAATGGAGTGCTCGTTTGCAGTCCTCGTCACCGGGGAAGGCTCGGGACCAGACGCATCATTGCAGTACCGAATAAATTACGGGGTCTGCTTGCTGCCGCTTGAAATGGACTGCTAAAGGTACTGGTGGTGGCACAGGTGAAAGTATTTAAAAATCACATCTATGATGTTTGCACAACCACAGCAACAGGGCAATGATTTGTAATGGCGTCTCGAGGGGAGGAGGCATAACCCAACAGATAAGACATGGCCAAACACACAGCAGCATGCATGCAAAACGAGAAGAGAGACATGGCAAGCAACTCAGGACACATGGGCCAAAGCATTGTCAGTGTGTCATATGTCAACCCTAAACCAAACCCTAAACCCTAAACCAACCCTAAACCCTAAACTCTAACCCTAAGCCTTAAACCATGAACCTTAAACCCTAAACCCTAAACCCCAAACCCTCCTGAGGCCCTCGCCGGGGCGAGGGGGCGCAGCGCCGAGCTCGGCAAAGGCAAAATGGCGCAGCTAGGACGACGGTGGCAAACACCCCTTAATTGGGGGTTTTCTCAAAATCTGGGTCCGCGAATTTCCGGCGATCTTGAGTAGGAAATAGTTGGTCTAGTATTAAAAAAAGTCCGTATGAAAGATACTGGGACCGGCATTTTGAGAACTCCCCACATGCATCGGACGCTTCCGGGTTTCTCTCTGTGGATGAGTTCGGCGCTGTGACAGATCTGGCATTCTTCGAGGCTCTCGTCGAGTCTCTCGTCGCGGCTTATCCTTCCAGACCCCGCAAATGCCTTGAGCCCGGGACACGACACGCATGGGGGCTTCTTCAAAAAGGGTTTAGGGTTTAGGATTTAGGGCTTCAAGCTATGGTCCCGTGTTTTCATATGAGAAGGATCCGACTACTTCGGGTCAAAATTGATGTCCAGGGCCACCAAGCCCTCTGCACAAGGGCCAGGTCGTTCACATTCCCTCGACCATCATCAAACCCTAAACGCTGAACCCCTAAACCCTAAGCACTAAGCCCTAAACCCTAAACCCCTAAACCCTAAACCCTAAACCCTAAACCCTAAACCCTAAACCCCTAAACCCTAAACCCCTAAACCCTAAGCACTAAGCCCTCGATTCAAACCCTAAAGTCTTAAACCTTCCGAATGTTGTGCTGCTCAAGGATGAGTACATACACGGAGTTTAGGGCTTTAGGTTTTTTTTTTTCAAGTTGGGCTGGCACTCCTCTTTAGGGGTTTGGGGCTTCAGGGTTTTAGGGTTGTAGGGTTTTAGGGTTTAGGGTTTTAGGGTTTAGAGTTTAGGGTTTAGGGTTTTAGGGTTTAGGAGGAATGATGGTGCAAATGTTGAACAAAATTCCGCGCCAACCCAACCCAATCCCAACCGCTCAACCAAAGTTTGGGGTTAAGGGTTTGGGGTTTAGAACCCGAAACGCTAAACTCCCACAGCGACCACGAACCCAGTCTGCTCAAGCCCTCTGCACAAAACCGTGGCGCAAGGATATGGCTCGCGCCAAAACCTGCGGAAGAAAAAAAAACACCAACACGAAGAAGCAGAAGACACCGAACAGTTTGGCGTACACGGTTACCGTTCAGGGTTTAGGAATGTTTAGGGTTTAGGGTTTAGGTTTAGGGTCGTGGACAAAAACAACAACAGCAACAACCCAGCAATAGCAGCGGCCATGGCAACAGCAAGATACGACGGCAAGGACCACAAAGTCATTACCATTATCAGATTCTCACCACCAACATCTGCTGCGGCAGCATCAGTATCATCGGCCGGGCGCTATCATCGTCACATTCCCGTGACCATCAGGCGCATCACTATCGTCATCATCATCTCGATCATCATCAGCAGCAGCAGAAGCTGCAGCGCCACCACCACCCAAAACCACCATTGCTATCAAGATGTTCTACTTGAGCCCCATCACCGTTATAACTTGCCCTTCTTCACATTCATCATCATCAACATCATCATGAGCATGATCATGATGACACTCAGCGTCATCATCACCGTCACGGGCACCGGCGGCTTCATCTGCAGCCCTGCGACGCGGCATCGAGACCAGTAGCAGCCTAAACCACAGCAAGATCCTCATCCTCAGACCTGAACCCTGAAGCCGTAACCTGAAACCCTAAAAACTCTAAACCTTAAAGCTCCAAACCACATATTCCATGTTCCACCCAAAGAGACAAGATATCCTCCACCCCCGACGAGCCACCAAGCTCAAAGCCAAAATTCAGAACCAACGCAGAATGAATGTGTAGTAATCTAGAGAATTCGGGTGTCGAGTTCAGGCCTAACCCCCCTCGCGCCCTATAAGTTAGTTGAGCTTCTTCTACTACAGATTTACATGAGGCTTTGATCCTTTTTTTATGTCTTGGGGCCGAGTTACATTCAGCTCATCTCAACTCCAGAACCCTGTTGTCCCACAAAACCTAAATGCATAAGCCAAGAAAACTACAAACTGCAAACCTAAAGACGCCAAACTTTCCAAACACCATAACACACCCCACAAACCCTTAACCTTAAACCCTAAATCCCTAANNAACCCTAAACCCTAAAACCAAACAGAGCCATGCCCTAAGCCCGAAAATCTCGTTTCTTTCTCGCTCTCTCACCATCTCCCCGGGTTGCCCAGATTTCAGGCAGACTCTCCGTTTAGGGTTTAGGGGTTTAGG